GTTGCTGAGCAGGACCCGTGTGACGCCCCGCCCCCAGTGACGTGACGCCCACTAGTTTTGTTGATGATCTGGATGGACTGTTTGCTGTTGGCTTTTCATTTTGGATGATCATTTCCCTTCTAGCGGCTGTATCTTCCAACTTGCCCACGTATTGCCTTATCAATCAAAACACTATGCTTGTTGGCATGATGGCGGCTATCGGGGTTAACACGTCCGAACAACGTCGTTCTTTACCGTCGCTCATCCATGGTCGAAAATGAAAGGGCAATCAAAGGGGTACTATTTTGCTTATTTTTGACGGATTTCTTTGCTTTTTTCGCCATTGGCGTACTATTGAGACCCCCACGTCCCCTCTAAACCCCTTTGAGATCTATCGTAATCGCTTCCTTTAAATTCGAGGATTATATTATTATATTTTGATTTTTGTTCGTACGAAATTAGGTACTGCGTTTCTGCTAAACATTTCAATCCTGACAACTGATCAAAAACACTAGCTCCAAACGTGCCATCCACTCATGATATCGCCAAATTTGAAACAAGATATCTAAATCATGAGTTTTTAATTACACACATATGGCAGAGAGAGAGAGAGGAAAGTGAAGTCACCAAAACGTCCGCCTAATACCGACTCAAAAGCAGGTGACTCATGAAATTAGATGTTAAAGAAGGAAAAATGTGTCCACCATGAAACGGGAGAGGACCCCTAAGCGACCAAACGGTGGCGTTCCCGTAGTTAAGAGAGCTCCCGTAGTAACGGAATGAGGCTTACCCTTCCCCCTACATGCACTCGCCATCTGCCCGCCTACCCCAGCAAGTGGTTTTTCGCTATCGAAATTTGGCTTTTCTGGTAGATAATCAGATCAATGCATTCACATAGTTGACGTCAACACCGATGGAGCTGCGGAGAACAACAGGGAAACGAGGGTTCTGTTCTGAGGGTTTCAGATCGCCTTCCCCTTTTTGCTCCACTGATGCATCGACCAGCTCCACTTTTTTCGGGGAAGACCTATCTATCGTATTTTTGGCTCACAAAGGTTCATCTTTTTGCGATCGCTTGCAACCACTGTAACCTTATTCTTTACCCATCATGAAAAAGCTTACTGTACACATTTTCAAAACTAGACAATTCAAAAAAAGATAGAAAAAAAGCAAAATGAAAATGGGTATGGCTACAGCCCTAATATAGGTCTCAAAGTCCGATGCTATTCACAGCTTGCAGCCCATATGCAGTTGTATGGTTGTCGAAGTGTGAAATATTCTATCAAGGCACAGAAGTCACCCTCGACTCCTCATATACAATCTCAATTTGACCTAGATCTTACTATACAGCTCAACTGCTGCGATCTTTTCATGTCTAATGGTAGTTAAGGGCTTTCCTAATGATCATTTCTACAAGGGAATGTCATCGCGAATAGGTGACGTCATACTCGAACCCGACATCGGTTACTAATCGTGCGCGAATAGGTGACGTCATACTCGAACCCGACATCGGTTACTACGTGGATTTCACTTCGTACGAGGAAGCAGTTAGACGAGTATGGTTTACGTTCAACAAAAGTTTCGAACCGCTCCCATTTTTAACAAAACACCTTAACAAGCTTGCACTCGTTCAGGTTCTACGATCACGGAAGGATAAAATTGAACTCACTATGGCCAAGATCCAAAAAATAGCGAAATGCATGCTATGCTTGTTATTGGTGGACCCGATGTCGTCAAGCCTCAAAGAGTTTGTCGATTTAATTTATGAATTTTGAATTTTTTGAAAATGAAAGAATCTTCCCCTTCACAGAGCAGTTTTTGTCACACAAGGTTTTTATAAGCACGAGCCGGTCAAGGATGAAAAAGTGCACGATCAGTGAGACGGGCGAATGGCTAACCGAGCCATCCCATTGACTACCTTGCTTGAATGATAACAAAGGGTGTTGACTTGAAAGCACATTGCCCAATGAACAGATGTAGTCTACTGCATTGAAAACTAACAGTTACTGTAATGACTGGGCTATCAGTAATGGAAGAAAGCTGAGGAATTTCTGTCTTGAAATCAGATTGCGCTGATCGTTTGAGCGGGGTTCTTGGGGTCTCACAATAATCTCATAGGTTGGCCCAATCTTTTCGGCAGATTTTCCATAGCAAAAGAGTGAGTAACCGCACAGACTTTCGCAGGAGCGTGGCGCAATGCCCGCACGTACGACCAGCAATGCGCGTGATCTGACATGAGCGGAGAGGGTTGCGTTGAAACCCTTGTAGCAGTTTTCTCTTTAATGAGTGAATAGCAATCCCCAAGCACAAGAGTGATGGTACTGTTGCGACCAGAAAATGCATTAAGGCCTTGCTTCATTGCTGTAAACGCCATTTTCACTTGCTCACAGCGCACGCCGTCTGTGCGCCCCATTCCGGTTCTCTCTCGCACACTTCCTCTTCTCGCTGAGCCGTGTCCCTCCGTCATGCCACGGTCAACCACGCAAAAAATGAAGCCTACAATTCTAGTGTTTTCCATGGTTCTTATCCCTTTGATGCTCTCCCAACAGTTCTCTTCGCGCCTTTTTTCATTTTCTAGATCGTCCTCTTCGTCCCGCTCCTCAGAATGCCTATCTCACCCTCTGCAGGACCTGATCGAATGCATGGCGCGACCAAGAGAAATCCCACGCTCAATAATTCGCTCATTCCGTCTCACCACAACAAGCCATTGCGCTACTTCCAGGAAATAGGGGATAAACGCACAAGAGGTTAGGACAACTCTTATTTTTTAGGTCGGTAGAACCGCACATATTATCGATTTATATCCTTTGATGTGTCACCTTCTTGACATTCCTGCTGCTCCAAATAATGGAACACTCAGCAGGATTGCGTCAACATTTTATCTCAAGAATTACAGACATGGGGTGAGCTTTTGTTTATGTCCAAATTCACGATATCGCATGTCCCCCAAATATTTTATTACCTTAGTATTACC